CCACCACCACCACCATGATGCCTTCACAACCACCACCACCATGCCACTGCTACCATTGTTGTCACCACCAACCACCATTCTCGCAACCACTGTCGTCACCTCCACCACCACCATCTCTACCACTATCACCGTCGCCGCCACCATTACCACCGTCATCGTTGCATCCATTACCGTCACAACCACCACTACTATCTTCACCACGTCACTGCCACCACCACTACCGTACCGCCGCCACCACCACAACCACACCATGTGGAAAGGAAAGTGATGATCCAAATTTTTTTTATATTTAATAAGATTTATTTTTTATTATATTATTTGTTGTGTTATCAAACACAATTCTTATTCTCGGAATAAAAATAAAATATGTTGTCAAACACATTTTTTTTTCTCAGAAACTGTTCCATGACATAGAAATAGAAAAGAATTGTTTCTTTTCAGAAACAGTACTAGGGAATAGAATGATTGTCATGCACACCCTAATTCTATATAACTCACCCGCTATAAACCTTATTATTTCATTCTACCCGCTGTGAAATATATAGTACTTAAACTAGGTTATTAGATTTTGATACCTTTCTCAAATAAGCACGCATAATGATAAAAACACATTTTTATAAGGCAAAAATAATTTTAAAGTGGACATACGCTCAACCAAATATACACCTAACCGCGTATTGTTAAATCTAACATAAACTACAAATTAAGTGCAACTGGTTCATAAATAAAGGCACATGTATAAGTGTGAACTTGTACAAATACCATTCTAATGTTTTTATTTTTAAATACCTAACGTGATGCATAACAATATGGACACACACTTCACGACCGAGCCCAAATGCGAACAGAGCAAATCAATGAAAACGATTTGGTTTCAATTTACTATTATAGCCTATATAGGTCATATGAGTTCAACTTGGTGATTAAGTAAACTTTTATTTAGCCATCATTTGTGCATTATCTCAAGGGACAATGACGTACCCGTAACATATAAATGAACCTTTTTCAATACGTAACGCAAAACACGTAACAGACATAACTATAGAACTTTGACATAACCTTCATATTCCAATTTTGATTAGAATAATTAACATTAATTTTATGTCAACAAGGAAGGATAAAAGGAAGAAAAAAAAAGTACAGTGTTCAGAATAGAACGCTATTATGTAACGAAACGTTCCAATGTGAGTTTATAAATTTTCTTCTTGGGTTTTTCTATCTATTATTTATTTTAAAAAATTAAGTTACGCACGTGACACAAAAAATATTAGAATATGTAAAATAAAATTAGTATTGTAATCCAAGAATGTATTCATTGGCTACCCAATGGGTGCAGCTCAGTTGGTAACTTCGCGTTGAGTTAGTGGGGTTGGATATGTGTTCGATTCCCGCTGAATGCATTTTTGGGAGGGGGCTGAACCTTTAGCCATCACTGTTCCCCCGCATTCCGGATTAGTCTCATAGCATACTGGAGGGAGCATTCATTGGCCATTGCATTTTAATTTTTTATTTTTCAATCTCATTGTTTCTCAATGAATACACCGTATATTCATAACTTATACAAAACCTTCATGATTTTATATGTAAAACTGAACCGAAACACAATTGGAATATATTTGTAATTCGTGATATTAATGTTTCCCAAACATTGTTTTATGTAAAACATACACAGAAACCGATGCATATTAAAAAGCATGTAAAATCGCCGTTGCCGGGGATTGACTGGCGAAAATACTCACCACTGTACTACAACGACCTTATTGTTAAGCATTTGGTAAGGCTTTTTAAGAGCAAAACAAATTAGTATCCAATATTTGAAAGTTCCACTTTTTAAAAAATGTGGATATGATAAGTTCTCCATCAACAATTCACAAAATCGATATACATAGTGATTCCTCAACAGAGCACTTCAGCGGTTTAAATGATATGTATATATTTTTTTTAATGTATAGCGCAAAAGTGAGCTATCATAGTCAATTTACTTTTTTCTACATTTTTGTCTGTACTACATTTTTATTTAAAACATATAATCATAATTTTTATAAAGAATTTGTGTTTTATGAAAATAAAACAAGTTGTACTTTACCATATTAATGAAAATTGCTGCTTGATAATTGTATGGGAGCTATTGTGTGTTGTACAGAAGTAGTGTCGATTTTTTTTATCAGTGGGAGGGGGTGAGAGTAAAAGAATGGGGAAAAGAGTTCAAGTGCCTTACGAAAAATTAGACTTACTTCTTGTTCTTACAAAAAAATTAGACTAGCATTCACGGTCGATATGGCCGTTGTTGTTGGACAACACTGTAATTAGAGTTGTCAAAATGAGCCAAGCCCGTATCATTTGGTCCTAGCCCGTGTGGGTTAGGGTCAAAAAGCCCGGAGGACCAAATGAATTTCAATAATCAAGGTTCGCATGGACCAAAAGTCCTATTGGTTAGGGCTAGCCCGCAGGCCATTCAAAATTATAATTTCATAATTTTTTTATTATATATAATACTTCAAAAAAATATTTTAACAAATGAATTTTTAACACTTTCTTAACATATTTTATACAAATTATAAATTTTTTATAATTTAATTTTTTAATAAAATAAGATTTGTACATAAATATACAAGTGAAAATGTAAACATAATTTTTATTAAAGTTAAAATTTAGTTATTACTTTTACTAAATTCATTATTAAATGATGTCATTAAATAAAAATTTTCTCACCGGGAATAAATACAACAATTATAGTGGAAAATTAAAAATAATGATGGAAAAATTATCTTAATACCAGTATTGAATAACTGCTCTTAGTATGTTATATATTTGAAAGTAAAATAATTGATTTTCTTTAACTACTACTGTTACAAAAAAAAATTTAGTTATTATTATCCACAAAATTAACAAAGTGCATTGTTTACAATATGTTTTAATACAAATTTGGATGTATAACATGCTTAGATGTTAATAAAAATTTTATTTTTATTGATGCGCAGATGAAAATCTCTGTTAAAATATATCACTACTGAAAAATTAATTTTTGTTGTAAAATATTATGGATGAACTTCACATGGTTCATAACATGTGACTCTTTTGTTTTTCATGACCTTTGATATATTCTATAATCATCACACTAATTGTGAGTTGAAATGTAGAATACATCCAAAGGGGTATTGTAAAATATTATGGATGACCTTTTACATGGATTATAGATGACCTTTCACATAGATTATGCATGACCTTTCACATGGATTATGAATGATCTTTCACATGGTTCATAACATATGACTCTTTGTTTTTTCATGACTTCCATGTTTAAAAATGCATGTAAGATAGGTCCTTATACAGACTCTTTGCTCATACCTATTCTTATTTTATTCTTTCTTTTGTTTCTTTTCTACATTTCATTTTCTTTTCTTTCATATTTCACTTTATCTTATATTCTCCATCAAATTCACTACAATTTTTACTTATATTTATAAATATTAAAATTTATATAATTTTTAGTTTTTTAAATAATGAAAATTTGATTAAAGAAAAATTTGGTCCGCGGGTCAGCCCTAACCCAGCCCGCTAAATTATAGGGCTTTGAGAATTTGGGCTAAAACAGGTCCTACCACAAAAAAGCCCGGATGGGTTAGGGCCAAATATAATGCTTTGCGGGCTGACCCGCAAATTTTAACCCATTTTGACACCTCTAACTACAATGTCCCTTGTTCGAATGCTGGTAGCAGAAGTATATCGCAGTGATCGCTTCTTCTTCTTCTTTTCTTCCATTTTCTTGTTTTGGGCCTTGGCCCTTCTGTTCTGCTTTTTTTTTTTTAAAAAAAAAAAAAACTTTTTATTTTTGTTTGTTCATATAAGCGAGAATCTCACAACTAGATCAATTTTAGTGGCTTAATACTTTGTAATTCTATCTTCTTGTTGTTCATTGACTACTAAATTTGTGGTACCACAAATTTTTTTCATGTTCAAAGAATCTTGTCTAGCTGCTGATGCAATTTAGACTCCAATTTTTCAAAAGAGCGATTATAAATTAGGCTACCATTTAGAGGATAGACACAGATCAAACAAATCATGGTTTTGCCAAGATTTCAAGACTTGAAAGGGCTCTCTCCATGAAAACAAGTTATTTGAATGATTTCTATTCCGAAGTGGTAAATAAAAAAAGTTAATAAAGGGTGAAATGATAGTTTTATTCTTTTTTAACTATTATAGTTGGAAAAAAATTATAAGTTACCTCAAAATTGGAATGATTGAGAGACTCTCCTATCATTTTAAACTATTCTTATTAAAAAAATGATTTGGATAGAACCTAAGGTACTTTAGTTCATAATGCATACGAGTTTGATGGACCAAACTTTTGGTGAGTTTGTTTATTTTCTTTCTCTATTTCTCTCCCTTCACTTTATAACAAAGTTCATGTTATCTTTATAAAAATTTTGATTTGCAAATATTTTAGTTTATTTTTTAATTTCTTTAAACATACTAAAATTTAATATTTTTTTTGTAACTTGTTAATCATTGTCATCTTTGATCTATGGAAAAAATTAAATATATTTGGATTATAGTAATTCACACAATTAATTTTAAAATAATTATTTTAAGACACACATAAGAATACAATAAAATTCAATTTTTACCTTTCCTTATCCATAACTAATCCTTTTTTTTTTTTGAGTATCCTCCATGACTAATTCTTAAACTCATTGATTCTCACAAATTAACTTAATTTTTTTTTAAAAATTACTAATCAAAATAAAGTTGATAACATTTCATCTTTAAATTTTTATTTTTTTTTAATTTTTAGATGCCTTCCATCTAGTGTTTAAAAACTCAACCCGATTATCGACTCAGTCAAAATACTGAATCATTGACTCAATCAATAAACCACTAGTTCACCTGGTTTAATTAAATTTATATTAAATTATATAATAAATATATTATAAGCAGGTTTAATTCCCAACCACTATCAAAAGTAAAATATTTTGTCAGACCCAGCCAGTCCGGCTCGAGTTTTAATACACTGCTTCCATCACGAATGCAGAGCACAACACAATCATATGTTGTAACCCATTATGAGAACTAAACAATTGAAAGCAAAGGCAAAAACAAAAAGCAGAGTTCGTCCAGTTCCACCCTCAAACGTGAAAAATCAAAAGATTTTTAAGCTGAGGCTAACTTTCAAAGATCATTTATTCTTTTAAACAATTCAGTCAAATATGTAAATTAAGACATTTTTTATATTGGCCACCAAAGGCACTGACAGCTGGAAAATCTACTGAATAAAGGATGCTAAGCGAGGGTCTGAACGGTAAGGAAGACCACTTCGTGCTCCTAGATCTCTGCATTTGGCTGCGGCCTGAAATTGGCATTAAAAATGCATAAGCCTCTTGAACCTAACACATGCTCCAATACATTTAAATTTTCCAAATTGAAAGGCATGCTATAGACACAAATATATATTGGTTAGTTGAGGATAAGACCACATACCACATTAGCAGCAAAGGATAGCATTGTCTCTGGTGAAAACTTGGCACAGATAGCTGAAAGCAAATCAAGCACATAACAGATCTCATCCTCATATTCAGACAGAAAAAAATAAAGAAGATGGTGGCCAAGAAGTTTAAACATATGAAATGTAAAAAGCTTCTTGAAAGTTGCACAACTTGATATCATGACCTTTAGGAGACCATGAGGAAAAAGAGAGAGCAAAGCTGTTGTATTACCATAGAGAACAGCTCCAATAAATGCATCTCCAGCACCAGTGGTATCAATAAGCTCTGATGGTGGAATGCTCTCAGCTGTTCCAACGTATAACTTCCCACTAACAGCTCCTATCCCTTCTGCCTTTAGTTTTGCAACTGACTGGGTGAATTAGACGGAAGAAGATATGACTAAAAAGTTGAACAAAAACCAAATAAGCATGTAAATTTTTAAGTTACAATCCCTGTTTTTAGAACTTCGAAGATCCATGTCATTATGCCTAGAAAACTTCTTTTCTAGATAACGCACTCAGATAGATCATCACTTTACACAATTGACTATTTTGTCCGGAAAAAACAAATTAATATATAGACGGAGTTAAGTCAAACAATGTAATTCTAACAAGGATTAAAACTAAGATTAAAACGTAGAAAATGACAGGGAATACTAAATGCATAATGTTCAAAATTTGCCTTTACATGTATGTACTGTTCTGCTTGTATCTGATGTTGACAATAACAAATGCCTTAGCTGTTCAAAGATTTCCAAGTCTTCCATGTCAAAGGTTGGCAAATGAATGCAGGGTTATTAAATGTCGTCACCCTTTTTGCAAAGGTTTAATGTCTCCCTAGGGTGCCTTTGATGCAAGTCGAGGAACAACACAAGTAGAATAGTACTGGACATATGGGTCACAGAACAACATTTTGTTCTGTCTCTTATTTGATAATCTATGCACAGCACAAGTAATTTTGTGTTTAACTTCCTACAATACCCTTTGTGTTCTCTTCTCTTGTTTTGCATACTGGTACAATCTAACCAAAAGCATCAACTTGCAAACGACCAACCATGAGATTGGCTTCCTCTGCTGGAAATGGCATCGAACTGCCACAAACATGCTTACTGTTATTGTTGTGTTGCGATAATGGAGCCATATTCGTTGCCAACAAGCTGAACCTCTACACGCCTTGCTTGCATAAGGACACAAGATGAAATGTAAACTGGACCAGAGTCCTTATGCAAGACACTGGACCAGAGTCTTCATGCAGGACACTGGACCAGAGTCATGATCCTAACACTGCATCAGAGTCCTTATCGAGAATACTGGGCCGGAGTCCTCATCCTGGAGATTGGACCGGAGTCCTTATTGAGGACATTGGATCAGAGCCCTTATCTAGGACACTGGAGAGTGGAGAGTCCTTATCGTGGGCACTAGACCAGAGTCCTTATCATGGACACTGGACCAAAGTCTCATCTCAGTGCCTTTATCTTATTATGCTGGACACTAGACCAGAATCCAAAACCTGGACACTGGACTTGAGCCCTTATACAGGACACAAGACCATAGTCCTGATCTTGACATTGGATGAATTGCATGTAAAGAAATAAAAAAGAGATTTGCTTTCATCATTTAACATGACCACAAAAAGTTTCCTACACACAACATTTTGTGGGACCCGCATGTTTTGAAGGAAAAAAAAAAAAAAAACTAGGGCACGCAAAACGAATCTCTATAACATAACACAATTATTTTTCCTACAACATAACTCTTATAAAACCCAATAAAAAAATCAGATTTCGTCAAATCATAAACCCTAAATCAAAATTTTCAGTCTCCTTCTCACCTTCCACGACATTCTCCTACGTTCTGCACCTGTGATGAATTGGGTTCTGCGATTGGCTTCACACAGGTTCATTGATGCATTTTGCTATTGGGATTGGTGGTGATTGTGTTTTGCGATTGCGACCTTCTCCTTTTTCTGATTGTCTAAGATAAGTTTCATTGTTTGTTTCACTCTTACGTCTTCTTGGTGACTTTTGAATGCGAGGTAACACATTTTGGATCAAGAAATATTATGGCCCCTCTTATTCTCTTTCTTATCTTCTTCATGGGTATATTCTTGGGGTTTTGCTTCATTTCTATCCCTATTTTTTATATTTGCTTTTCTGTTTGTTAATGGTATTATTTAGTTCAAACCACTACTTAGTTCCTCTTGACACTTATTTATCAACTGAGGCGCTTTTTTGTTGTCTTTTACATTTGATGTTTTTCATATTTGTTATCTTTTGACTTTTATAATATGGTAATGTTATTTTATACGTATAAATCATAGTTGTCAATAGCAGTTAGCGGCCGGTAGCGGCTGACCCCGAAAATGGTATAGCGGGTAGCGGTATTACCGCTACGGTGAAGTATTAATTCTACATATATTATACTAACAGTCAAGAAACGAGGCAATACCGCTTTTAGTATTAATGCTCAAACATAAGAAGTCACACAAAATCAAACACATAATTCCACAATCAATGTCAAATACAAGGAACATAAAAGAAGGATCCAAAATTAAACACAACTGAACAATAAAATTGTCAAATAGTCAAGTACAAGAAGTGAACTAATAAAGAAAATCATCATCATCTCCGGATTCTCCATCAAATTCCAAGATGGGAGTGGTGTAGCGGGTAGAGGTATTGCTGCTACGCTACGCCGCTACGGCCAATGTCGCGTAGCGTAGCGGTTTGTAGCGACCGACCGCGGCTACCCGCTACGGTAGCGGTTTAGCGGCGCTACGGGCCGCTACTGACAACCTAGGTATAAATATTATTTTTTACAATTAAGATTAGGTATGTCGATCCCATGATTTATGATCTAGCTATCCCCTTCCAATCTAATGCAAGATCTTGATCTTGACAACCTTGGTCTTGACTAAACCAATTCGAGTAAGGTAGACCCACATATGAGACAAACCCATTTTTTTTCCATTTACAAGACCCACCCAAACTCAAAACCTTACTAAATGGAATTGAGATCCCATTCACAAGGACAAACAGGTGCTGGTTACCCATGTTTGCGTCATATGTTTTACATAAGGAGAATCCCTTGCAAAATATATTACCCTAAATCATTTTACTAAAAACTGGGTGTTCGATATAGCCCAATAACATTGATTGATCCATGTAGCCTATCTCACCTAGTGGGATAAAGCTTGGTGTTAGATTTCAGTTTAGTAATACCACAACAGAGAAAAAAAGTGTTCTGGGTTTCATTGACATTACTGATGATATGCAGGTTGGAATGGATACACTCTGATTCTTTCTTGACTCCAGTGATTCCAATAAGCTGTCTACATCCACTTCTTCCGTAGAAGGACCTGCTGCCAGAAAAGGCATAATATATAAAAACCTTTGACATTAAATGCAAATACAACATACAATGACTATGCCCACTATCATCCATACATACCATTAACACTTCTCTCAAGCATTATGCAACCGTCTTTTCCCAAAGTTACAATCACAAATTTGATGTTGGGCAACCTTAAAAGCATAGAAACGAGAGCTTGTGGAACAGTTGATGCCTTTGTCCATGCCTGTCAGCAGAGAAAGGTATACCGTGTATTTAGCAACACTTAAAAGAACTACAACCTCACAAAATAGACTCAAAATAAGGTTTCAGTAAAATAAATGGACAGATATTTATAGCAACTAGAAAAGGAAATGCATGTGTATTTAGCGATGCTTATAAGAACTTCAACCACACATAATAGGCTAAAAATAAGGTTTCAGTAAAATAAACAGACAAATATTTATAGCAATCAGAAAATGAAACGATGTGTCATTGTTATCAGACAAGCAATATCACCTTCCCATAACAAGAAAAAATATAGCTTATAGATAACTGAAATAATATATGTACAAGTAGGCATATAACAACTTCCTTAGGCCACAAAAAAAAGGTACAGCTTTTCCTTCTGATGCTAAGACAGCACATGTTTAATTATACAATATATTTACTGATTGAATGATAGAACAGAAAAGTAGACTATTAAAATCTATTCAACATTTCTGCACACAAAAACAAGGTTAATGATAGAACTCTAGAATCATACATTTATTACGATAGCATTTCCAGGGGAAAAACTTGCCTGTGGAAACTTCGCTGAGCATACAACATAATCAGCTAATTTCAGGAGATCATCCAGCCCATCCCTCGGCCTTTCTGCATCAATAAATATGGGTATATTCTTTCTAACTGCCTGCACTGGAAAAATGTAAGATTTTGTTTACTTCTCTTCAGATGAAGCTCTCTTCTCCCATCCCCAACCTCCTTTACAAACAGAAGAAAACAAAAAGGTAGGTGTAAAAGATACCAAGTGAAATTATACTAAAGTTACTTCTAGCATTTGCAAAGCTAGTAACAAACATGCACTTAGGATACACAATGATCAAAGAAAAAGAATGGAATGTACGATGGGAAATAGAAACAACAAAAGAAAAAAGCTTGTTTCATTTTACTGATTGATGAACTTGCAATTTACATTATGCCTTGCAGACTACATTTCTTGAAATGTGATCATCTTCCCACATTTCCCCATTATTTGAGTTAGTCTATCTCATGTTCAACTGCGGACATTGGTGCGATGAGTTGGTATTCTTTTAATTAAAGATTATTAGCAGTGATAAAAGTTGGATTAACTCCAAGTTTTGTATAGCAGTATATGCTTCTTAGATGAAGTTTTGCATGCTTCAACTTCTATTTTCATTATAAGAGCTTCAACTTCTAAATATGACTAGGCCCTTATAGTTTGCATAAGAATCGCAAGCAAATTATATACGTGATAACCTCATGAGCAACAACTAGAGCAGTTTCATACAACCTCCCATCAAAATATGCAATTCTTGCTCCCTCCAATGCAGATAACAAACTTGACTCTGAAAGATCATCTGGTATCATTGGAGGATATCCTGGGGTATGTATACAAGTACGAGTCTTCCTGAAAAATTAAACTAAGAATGAGACAAGTAACAATTAAAATTTGCAAGTCTTACTGGCAGCAAATGCTTGAAGATCTTAATATTATAATGGATAATGACAGCACATAGTTATTATTTAATTCTTACTACTAATGAACAATTTCTCCTTCTCATTCATGCATTGACTGCTGGTTGAAACAAGTTTCAGGTATTGTCAAGTGTCCAAAGATGATAAACAGAAGAAAATGGAGAGAAAGCAAGAGACAGAAAATAGAAATGTCATGTAAGCGCAAAGTTTGTGGTTTCGGTTCATTTTATTTCATTTTTTTCTTCAATTAAAATAAAAAGACAACACTATCTACTATTTTATGTTCAAAACCATACAGATGACAGTGACCAGAATCTCAACTAGATAGACCTCACCCCCCCCCCCCCCCCCCCCCCCCTATTTCTTGGAATTTAGATCATGAATGTACTCGGGCGAAAAAGTCAAGATTGTATAACCATATGTAAGCAAATGATCATTACGTTTGGTTGTCCACAATAATATATGTAAATGGTGAAGTTCCTTCTTTAGATACCTGCAAATAACAGGAAGCATAACCACAAAAAAGTGTTAAAAAGATAGTTGGCTTGGGGCAATTGGTACTCCCAATTGTCTATTGACAATCCCCACTAACTGCTTTTAATTGCAACATCCAAATCACCCTTAATGAGATAAATTCTTTATTCAAATAAAACCTTAATTAATAATATTACTATTTATCTGTCCTCATTTAATTGAGAACACCTAAGGAAATTATAACTATAAGTAGTTAGTGGGGAGTGTAAACAGAACATTACAAGTGCCAATACAATTGAAATTAAAAAGCGTATATACAAACAAATTCAAATCCTATGACACTAATAAAAGAAGTCATAATACAAGTTTCATGAAGATTATTGTTAGTCTTAAAAAAATTACCACAATAAAGGATGTATCTACACCATCAGCTTGTAGCTCATCTAATATTCCCCTGCCTTGACTGTCATCAGCAACCTAATTAACGAGTGTTGTTAACACACACACACACACACACACAAAAACGGTGTCAGTATCAGGCTTAAACCGTTTATCATCACAATTGTTTTTCTTAAAAAATAATAGACATGCTAAGGGGATTTAGTTAACAAAAAAATATTAATAATAATAAAATAAAACCTTGGAGATAACCCTTGGGTTTAGGCCAAGGCGAGCAACGCAGGTTAAAGCATTGCCCGCATTGCCACCTCCTTGAACCTGAGAAAAAAACAATGCATAAAACAACGTTTAAGCTTTGAATATCTTGTTTGTAGCGTTGTGAGTTTCTTAGTGCCTCCCATCCAATTCAGTGAATGTGAAAGAAGAAAGGAAAGGACCTTCAAGTTGGTGGTTCTGATTTTCTCATCTGGTTTAGGGTAAGCAGCAACTGTAGCCAAGAAATCAACGGACACTCCTCCACACCCTACCTGCACATATATATTTATATATATACAGAAACCCTCCAATTTCGATGGCAATGCTTCAAATGGAACCACACACACAGAGATAGAGAGAGAGAGAGAGAGAGAGAGGACGCACAACGATAGGGTTTTGAGGAAGGGTGGACATGTTGCGAGTGAAATTTCTGCATTGAGGCTTCCTTGACTGAAACTAAATAAATTTAAAACCTTAAAATTACGAATAATTACACGATATCTAGAGAGAGAGAGAGAGCGTTACATTATGGAATTTGAGAAGTGGATGGGCTTGAACGTTGAATCTGAAGCTTGAAGAAGAAGAAATAGCGCAGAGGTTCGACATGTTTTGCACTTTGAGGAATGAATGAATGAATGGCTATTGGCCACAACTCATCAATGAACTATATCAACTTTTGCTCACTCTCTTCCACTTTAAATTTCAAAACTCTTTTTATCCATGAAGAAATATTTATTTATTTAAAATCTGGGTTTAAAGTTTCTAAAATTATTTTAGATAATTTTATCAAATGTTCACTTAAATATACACAAAACTAGTATATTACCCGTGCATCATCAAAAAAATTATTGTCCGTCGTGGTTGGTTAATCGCAATGCAAATCTTATACTTACAAAAAAATTGTGTTGCTATTTTGTTCTATTTCTCAGGTGGAAAAAACTACAGCTTGACATAGAACTTTGCAAATATCAATCACAAACAAAAATCTCTATTCAGAGGGATAATTAACTCTACATACAACTACGTCATAACACACCATATGTCATAATACACCATGTTAACATGAGGAAGGGATAAAAAAGAAAAATGCATACAACTCATTGTTAACTATAACATTCATCAACAAAATCAAGGTAACAATCAAACCAAGCAAATATAGAGTTAAAAGATCAGCTTTTACCTATAATTTACCTATAATAAGAAAGCACTATTAATTTAGTATCATTTCGTAGAAATCATTGGAGGGATAAGTTCAACACTTACCAAATATGTCATTTCCTGTGTGATTTTCGTTCCTTGTGCCTGCGATACAAAATGGAAAAACTCATTAAATAAGTTACACTAATATGTTAAACACCCAGAAGTAATATTATCAGCAAAAAAAAATTGGATTAAATTTTTTTTAGGACCAAAAAAATGTTGTCTGAAAAGGATTTAAATGCAACTTAACCAAATAAGCATGTATGAGTCATATTTTTTGCTTACATTGGAATAAATGCGTCTAAACAGAATCAAATCAACTACACTAATTTTTGAAATACTTCCTTGTAGACGATGTTGAAGGTATGATTTGTAAAATAATCATTATCATCAAGTATGAATATCTTCAATCCTTGTTTGCTCTTTACTCGTGAAAGTGCCACATATAATTGCCCATGAGTAAAGACAGGCTTAGGGAGATAAATGCCCACATGAGAAAGAGATTGTCATTGGCTCTTGTTGATACTCATGGCAAATGAAACAACCAGCGGAAATTGTCTTCTTTGGAAATATACTGGAAATGAATGACTTGATGAGATCATCGTTATTATAGGGATTAACACAATATCTCTTTTATATTGCTTCCGGCAAGAATAGTTCCTTCAACAACACGGTTGCCCAATCTTGAAATAAGCAATCTTGTATCGTTGCACAAACCTCTTTACTGATCCATATTCTCAACAGCATAACTGACACATTAACCTTCTTAATTAATTTATGATCAGGAATTCCCGAACAGGAGAAGGTATTTAAAATTTCATATGAGAACTCGTCATCTTCGAGTTGAGAATTACCATCTTGTTTCAAAACATTATCCGAACTGAAATATGTCTTTTCTTCACCCGGAATCAAAGACATTAATAGCTCATTTATCATAGCAACATCTATCAATTTAGGAGTTAAAAGTGCACGTTCTTTGAAGAACGTAGGATCTAAGATATGATCCAAGAGATTCGGGTACACAAAATCAACCAAATCTAATAGTGGATGTTCTGATTCCTTAATTAATAATCCATATGAAATTGTTATTATATATTCTCCATCAATATTATCTCCAAGATCACCATCTCCTACTTTAAAGAGCCACTCAGAAAAGTCATTTCTTTCCGCATAATTTTTAATCTCATTTCCAATAGTAAGTCACATATTTTTGGTCAAAGTCAGTAAATGACAACAGGACCAAAGATGAGAAGAATTGATGGTTGCATTGACTATTTGTTGTCTGCTTCCATGAGGAATAACAGGTAATATTAGCCGAAAATCACCTCCCAGAACAATTACTTTTCCACCAAATGGCTTATCAACACAACTACTATCAGAAAATCTAAGAATATCTCTAAGTGTTTTGTGCAGGGCCTCAAAACAAAATATGTGTACCTTTGGGGCTTTGTCCCAAATAATTAACTTTGTTTTTGCCAGCAACTCAGCAAGAACAGAATTTTGCGTGATATTATAGGTTGAATCTTTAGTGATTTGAATGGGAATACGAAATCTAGAATGTGGAGTTCGTCCTCCAGGTAGCAAAAGGGAAGCAATTCTGCTAGAAGCAAAATTAAGTACAATTTCACCATTTGATCTAACAAAAACGGAAAGGGTATTCCAAATAAATGTTTTTCCTGTACCACCAAAACCGTAAAGAAAAAGATAAACCCCCTACATTTGCTGAATTCTTTAGTCTTTTATGCTCATCCGTCGTATAAAATTTGTCATAAAGTAACTTATCAAGCACTAATCTATTTTGCATATGAAGCAAAGATTCACCGGTTATGTGAGGCATTGATGGGTAATCAGAAAGGCACCATTGCTTTGCAGTACCTTATCAATTTCAGCAAGTGTTGTGTTTTTTATAGACTCTTCCCTAAGAAGCATATGAATCCACATCAAATAAAAAGCAGAAGAAATTAACAAAGAAAAAGAAAACATGGAAAAGAAAAATAAAATACAACAACAAAATATTATCTTGTAATGTAATCACTATAATATATATAATTAAATTAAATATGGGGGGGGGGGGGGGAATAATCAAAGCAACCTGTCTTTTTTTTCATTTGTAATGAAGAATGGATACTAATGAATGCATGAAATATATACATAACATGTACCTTGACGTCCGATGGTTTTCCTATGCTGATAAAGAACATCGCCGGATAGAAATTTCCAACACTTTTCCCAAACATTTTCAGGTTTGGTCATTGAGTTGGTAAATAACAATGGAGCAAACATATTTCGAAGATACGGAGTTGACCCACACAAACTTGCCTCCATAATTGCATCAATGTACTCACTGTCATCGTCCAAAAGTCCTAAAGAATAGCATAAATCCTTAAATGAAGGGAAAAGCACGCCATTTATTGTTTGCAAATCTTTGTAACTTGTACAACCCTTTTGAAAAGTAAGCAAGAGCCGCAGATAAGAATCTTCTCCATTATTAGCAGAAAATCGATTTATTCTTCCAATTGAAAATCCTTTTTTTCTTTGATGCCATCCTGCGTATCTTCTTTGTAAACAAAATAAGTGGGATACTCAGCATAAGTAATATCCTTCCCCTCCGAAATTTTTTTGTTTGCTTCCATCCAAGACTCGAACATTGATCTTCTAGATTCCGCCCTTGTCTTTACATTAGATATTGAAGCACTGTCACTAAAAACAATGCTCTTTTGATCGGGTAGGTGAAATGGCAATCTCTGAACAGGGGGTATCTGGAATGAACATCGAATCCAAAAATTCTCCAAGTTGCTTCACATGCAGAGATATACCTATAAGAAATAAGCATTGAATTTTATAATAGGACAAAAAATAATGATGCATAAATATTATAGAAACCATTTTAATATGAATTGAAGTACCTGCAATCGTAAAACATTTTAATCTCATCATTTTTGCAAGTGGTCCCGCTACTTGAATTTGAATGATGGATAACAGCTGTTACTCGATCATTTCCCTTATGAATATATTTAAAAAGATATTTAATGGCTTGCTTTGATAGGTATATTCAACGTTAATATGAGCTTGATGCTTTAAAAGAAGTTTTTCATCATACGACACAACATAACGATTATCAAGTTCAACACCATTTTTTTGACAACCGTACCATCATTTTTTCCTCTTGTAATGAGGGAATCCGTCATCATCAATAAAAGTACAGGAGCAGAAGTTCTTGGGAAAAAAATTTTGAACAATTTTCTCTTTCATGCAAGGAGAATTGTAATTGTCAGGACCACAGAGACCATGTATCATGTAAGTGTTGACAGCCAAAAATAGGGTTAGATAGGTATCTTTATAAGGAATCTGTGCTGAAATCAATTTATCAATATCAATTCCATTATTTGGCTTGTCAGAAGGGTGCAAGAACAATAGGATGTGAGCATGAGGCAGTCCACGCTTTTGAAACTCAATTGTACAAACATCTGTAACATTTAAACAATCAAACAAAAATAATTAGATGAAATTAATATAATTAAAAGAAGTAATTTCGTAGGATACATAAAGTCTTTAACGTGAGTTGATTCACTTTACAAGATATAAGTTTCGAAAAAAGAACATCCACTTTAAAATGTAAATACATGTATTAACTCTTCCAAGAAAATGTTTCTTTCTTAAATCATTAGCAAATGATCCAATTTGAATTTGAACACTTTGCAAAGAATATATGAACGATCTTCAGGTTTTAGATTTCTAGCATTTAGAAACTGTGAAATTTCTGGCCATTTAGGATTGCATGTAATTGTAATAAAAAGATGAGGATACCCAGCCCAACGGCAAATTGCAAAAGCATCTTTACAATTTTCAGCCATATATCTAGGTCTGCCTATGAAAGAAGAAGGTATTATGATACGTTTCCTGCTTTTGCTGCTACATCTTCACCTCTATTAAATACATGAATAACATTTTGGTACAACTCGGCTCTGAGATGATCTTGGTTATGACGAATGAAGCTAAATCGTTCGTGCTCAATCATAGTATAAGCATCTACCAAGAATTGTTGAAAAAGTCTTCTTGAGTGATGGATAATTTGAGACTCTCCCGATCTTGTCTAAAGTCTAAATGAAAAGAATTCTCTCATGCTGATAGTGGATCTTGGTTTTGTTCTTCCACTGGAAATAAAAGTGTGTTGGACATCATCACGTAACCATCTTCATCGTAAGGAAATAACAAAGGATATTGCATGCCAAGGTATAACGAATAGTGCACATCTATGCACTACAAAACTTTATTTTGTGTTTCAAAAATGATGTCCCTATCACCCATTGAACCGTCTATATCTCTAACAATCAAAGCAGCAACTTCGGACGCGGACGGAAGATAATAAACTCTTCCATCACTACTACGCCTTTGAATAAGCCTCAACGTCACACCATTCAAGTTGTCTTCATTA